GACAGTGTTTTAACAGCGGTGAATTCCTTTACTCTGTTGCAGATGGATCACATCCATAAAGCTCTGATTAGCCCCTGCTTCGGGCTAACATCACCTCTGAAGAGAAAGCCCGGTTCCTGCGGAGTGTATCAAATTAGGTTCAACTCAGAGGTAGGTGGTGTTGTTTGGTAAATGCATTGCTTATTGTTTCTCACACACACCCTTGCACGACAGTTGCAGGGCTGAAAAGACCTGCCTTGTGTTTGGCTCCTGTGCTGATCCTGAGGTAATCTAGAGCTGCGTATTTACTCACTAAAAGGCTCTGATATCAGAGCAATTATTATTCCTTTCATTGTGACTGTTACACAATGATTCATAAACAAGCACAATCATGAGCTGCACTGCACTGCAGCACCACCATATTTTTATTTCCAAGCCCAATGGTTACCAAGCCCAGGCTGAGGTAACCATGTCTTTTTTATATTTATAAATACCAAATCTGGAGGATGTCTTCCTTAATTTTGAAAAGGAGAAGAGAAGAGTAAGAAAATAACAAGTTGGGGATAAAAACCATATAACCATATTGGTTGTCTGTGAGAAATTTTTGTATACTGCAAAATTAACTAATAATAATAATGTAGTATTAAATGCAATATAATAATGCTGCAAGGAATTTGAACTATAATTCGATATATTTTATTGAGTAACATCACATATCCTTGTATGTTGTTTATTTTTTGTATGGACACAGTTATGTTAAATCAAATACTTCACCTTTCTTTTCTTTTTTTTCACCATTGTCACTGAGCAGGTACATTCAATTTAACTGTAAAAGCTGAATATTCTGATAACAGAGAAAGAGTTGATATTATTTTGCATTCAATATAATTGATTCAAAATGCCAAGGTCATAATTATTCCACCCTCATCTCCCCCTGTTGAGGTCCCTGCACTAATTTTCCTGCACTGTAAAATAAGGCATTCTTAACAGAACTGTTTTTTCAGATACTTGTTTCTCTCTAAAGAAACAATATAAAACGGTTTGGGAAAGGTACTTTGCACCAAACTGTACATTTTTGTTGTGACAGACACTGATGTGTTATCTACACCATCAAGAACATTTATTAAGACACTCGTCTAACAATGTGCTGTTGTACAGATATTGATACTTTAAAAAAAAAAAAAAATTTTACCATGCTCACATCACTATATCAAACTTTTTACTTCCTTTTGTCTTCACAGGTACAGGCTTCATCACATGGCACCAAACAGCCAAAAAGGATGAAAGCTCTGGACGCCCCAGATTCAAAGATCAGGACCTCTGAACCAGTTGCCAAGGAAACCACAACGCAAATCCTCCCACCTTCCAGCTCTGAAATAATTTCAGGAGGTGCGTGTCTGTACAGGCATGCATATCGTACTACTCTGTGTGTGTGTGTGTGTGTATGTGTGTGTGTCTATCAACTCCTTTCAATTTACATACACCACAAACCTTGTTTTCCCAGGCATGACTTTTAATGCTTGATGATGAACCTCCCGCAGCTCGGGGGTCAGCAGTGGGGAGATTAAAGGTTCTCCACGTCTGTGTTTACTGACCTCATTCAGAAGCCTCCTGAGATCAGCAGTACAATGCAAATGTTCTGAATATGATCTGTGGGAGCAGTGTGTGCTTACACATCCACCTACATTGCATGAAAATATGTCAGCCAGGGTGTGAAAGCATCAAGTGCTCTCTAGCCTTAATGTGTAAACGGTGTATGAGCCAGTTCTGATGTTCACCTTCTGCATGTATGCGGGTGTTAAGAAATGAATCTTCATATTTGTCACTGCAAGCAAATATGAACTGATCTGATTTTAGTTTTTGTTTTTTCTGAGAGCTTATTTCAGTGATCATTCCCAGCGTTAAGAGTAAGGGAAGAAAAATAGACTGTAACATCCTTTCAAAATGCCGAATCAATGAAAACAAACAGGCACTTCCTCAGGTGGGCACAGCTAATCATGGTTATTTGAAAAGAGTCAATCCTTAAATTGTTCAGCTCCCTCAGGGAACCGTAACAATCAGTCTGATAAGAGATAATAGAGTCAAATGGTTTCCGTACATTGCTGTTCATTTAGGTGCTGGGCGACAAGCCCTGGGGGAAATCAACGATTATTAGATGATTAGAGAGGTGACTTCTTATCTCTGTTGCCAAGTGAGCTGTGAAAATGTTACTTTACTAATATGCACTATACAGAGTTCACGGACTGACTAAGGTGTGTGTTTCTAGCCTCCTTGTTTTTCCTCCTTGTATTCTAGGTCAGCACACTTTTTCATTTGCTCTTTCTTATCACCTACTTTATTTTTCTATTTTATTTCTGGTGTTTCTCAGAACCCTCAGCCCCAAATCCTTCCTCTGACTCATCCCCATTGTGCGGCAGCTCCAATGAAAATGTGAAGGCACCATCTGAAACATCCTCGGCTCCCAGCCTGGGGTTGACAGAGAAGGAAACGCAAAGCGATAGAACTGCAGAGACTGCTCCAGAGGATGAGACGGAGGAAGAGAAAGCCATACGTCTTCTCTACTGCTCCCTCTGCAAGGTGGCCGTCAACTCTGCCTCGCAGCTGCAGGCCCACAACAGTGGTAAGAATCTGAATTCACTGCAAAAGTTCACAGCAGAAGGTGTCGACCTTTTGCTTTGCATGCACTGTGAGCGATGCGCCGCTGCTACGATTTCATTTCTGGACCAGGTACTAAGCACAAGACCATGCTGGAGGCGAGAAGTGGCGATGGAGCCATCAAGTCATTTCCACGGACAGGTGTGAAAGCAAAGTTGTCCCCGCCGTCAGACTCGTCAACTGGGCTCCAGAACAAAACTTTCCACTGTGAGATCTGTGATGTGCACGTCAACTCCGAGACTCAGCTGAAACAGGTTCAGATAACTTTTTTGCTTGTGTAGGTTAGATTGTGTAACCTAGTGGATGTAGTGTAAAATATGATTCACATGAGTGGCTTCTCTGTTGGTGAGTAGGGCTGACACTGACGGAGGCTGGGGGGGACTGATGGTTGGATACTGCAAAGGCTGATGTAGTTTTAGGGTGCACTCACACTAGGGCCAATTTCAGAGGCTTTCAACAAGTTAGGGTGAGGGTACATCTGTGTGTGCAATTCAACGATGCCATGAGCATTCGTTGTTACTTTACTTTACATGTATGTCGAAAATAATTCTGTCTGTTATTTAATAGGTTAGTATTGTATGTGAGATAACAGGATTGTTAATGAATGGTACGGTAAGTTTACCGTAAGTTTAAATACAAAGGGTTACCTTTGGAAGCAGGATTATTATGCGATGTTGACATTGTCATCTAGAAATCTTTTTCAGCAGAAATGTTACCATTGCTAATAGAGGCGAATCTCACACCTGTCTCTGTGGGTTGAAAAAAAAAATCACACATCGCTCATCACAATATACAGAAATAACATCTCTTGTCTGTTTCACAGAACATCTGAATGTGATGTCAGCACCAGCATCTGTTCGCAACGTGCACACAACTCCACTCATCATATCTGTCACTTTAAGAGTTATCTTTGGCCAGGTGCTCATAAATATGTAGCAGTTCACCGCTGATTATGCGGCTCGGTAACTGGCTGAAGCCATCTGCTGGTGCTCGTCAGTAAAAAATCAAAAGGACGTTTTTTCACACCCAGCCTCCACAAAGATTTGGACTTAGAGTTGCAGCCAGCCGATTATCTGCATTCTGTCTGAATGGTCACGTTATGAAATTTGATTAAGCCTCCCCTAATTTCCTTTCACAATGATTATTCAAATTTCACAAAGACAACCGTCCTTATCTTTCTTTGTCTGCTTCATCTCCACGAAGGTGCAGGAGTATGTCTGAGGTTACCAAATTTCAGTGTCTCCTTGTCTGTCCCTCCCAGCACATCAGCAGCAGGAGACACAAGGACAGAGCGGCAGGTAAACCCCCCAAGCCCAAGTTCAGTCCCTACACTCCCACCCAACGTCACCAGACTTTCCAGGCAGTGAGTACTGTTCTGCTTGATTTATTTTCTCCTGTCGTATGTGTATATGTGTTCAAGATGTGATTGTAAAGAGGCTCCTCCAGGAAGCTGCCCTTTTTACTGTCAGTGAGAGAAATTGTCGCAGGCAAGTTGTAGAATCGCTGAGCAGATTTACTTGTGTGTTGTTAGAAAAAAGGCAGAATCATTTCACTTCATCATTTCTTTCACTAACACATGTGGCTACCAGAGACTGTGTCTAAATAATGGAGCCAACTGAGGCTACATACATACTTCTCTGTTTTTGTTTAAAAATTGTATTTTGTTTTACAATAAAAACAACTAGCATTTTTCTGTTCCTATCAGTGTACATACTGATTGGCCTGAGCCAGACATTTGCTCAAATAATAAGACCCTGTTTGTTTGTTTGTTTGTTTTCCTTCAATGTTTTCAAGTTACGATTATGACATTTTTTGGAAACGGATAATCACAGCAGCTGCCTGGAACATGGATATTGATCATAATTAATAATGATTAACCTACAGTCTGATTTAAATTTAATAGATCTTTATTTAGCCTTGATTTTTAAATTTGCAGTCTGAGGCATATGTTGACAACTGTGCTGCTGCTTATACTTTTTTACTTTCAAAGCTATTTTTTTCCGTTTCATGCACAGATTCAAATGGCTTTACGGAAGAAACAAGACCTGACCAAACCCCTGGCCTCCTGTTTTCTACAGCATCAACTTTCCATTGCTACAGCTGCGGCCATGACAACACTGGCCCCCTTCCCTCTCAGGCCTGCCTCAAACTCCAACACCACCATTTTTCAGAGCCAATCTCTCCCCCAGGCACTTTTAGCACCGGCCCCTGGATCCGTCTGCTCTACACACACACCGGTGCTGTTTAGTCCTTTCTGACCTTGTCAACAGCTTAATCAGCGCTGATGTTGAGGTTTGAAGAAAGACCTGAGACTTGAACAAATGTGACCTAAAACATCACCTGCTGTTTTTTACATTGCAGAAGAAACTGTTGTCTGGTGTCAAAGGTCAAGTCTGAAGACTGTTATCTGTGGTGGCAAACGTATGGCATGGTGGGTTGGAAAAAGTACAAAGCATAGAGAGATGGAGTGGCTGGGTCACATTTCACCAGATGCGGCCCTTACACTGCAGAAGTTGCCAAAATGCGTAGACGCGTTCAAATTTGTGTTCAGATCTGTCATGTAGTCTGAAACAGTTGTTTCGAGCACCAGCCTCTGAATCTCACCAACCAGTGGTGGACATTTCAGCAGAAGCTGCTGTTCATGAAATGTCTATATTCCTTGATTAATTAATTAATGGACTGTTTGAAATAATTTTTTTTTTTTGCTTCTGTTTGGCTGCAGGCGATGTGTTCTCACCCCTTTGGAGACAGTGTAGGTGCTGGACACCATTGGCTGCAGTACATGAATACAATCACGATCATGTGTGTGTGTCTTTGTGTGTTTACGCGCACAGTAGTACATCATTTTATGCTTTTTTTGTGCTCAGTTGTTTTAACTTTTTCACATTTGATCTTTTTTGTAAACTTTCACAATCAAGTTTTTTTTTTAAGAATACGAATATATATATAAAGTACTATAATCATCCATTACACATAACTAAAACTGTTTCCTATTGTCCATTATTTAGCAAAGCTGAAGATACTGAATCGGAAATCCAGAAAAAGATGTTTCGGGTACAAAAATTCCATCTAAATACATCACTTGCAGTTAAATCTTGATACACCCTGCTCCATGTGTGCGTGATGTGTCAAGACTCCATCATGCATCACTTCCCATGATTTGTAACTGTGATCTAAGGCCATTTCTTTGATATCCAGCTGCATGCAAAACTAATTTTCCCCTGGTGTATATTCAGGTGTTTGCCAAAAATAATGAAACCTACACATCAATCGCCTTTGTTTGGCTTCAGGATTTTTTTTATTTTATTTTTATTCCTCCTAAAGTCCTTATCTGTTCCCTCATTTTCTTCCGAGAATGGGACCCAGCTTCTTTATCGTGTCCTTTGCTTTATTGCAGCCTTAAGCAATATGTCTGCCAATTGTAATCCACCTCTAAAAGCATTGTGGTGATGTTGGAGGTTTGTAGTATATTAATGGTGCACATGTTCCACACATTCCAAGGGTTCCTAGGATTAGGTCATTTTTGGGAGAAAATATAGAGCTTGTTTTTGACCTCTATATCTTTACGTGAGTAGGTTGTTGTTCATACCTAAAGCAGAAGTTTTGTTCTATTTTCTCATGTATTTCCTTGGTTAGTGCTGCTGTCATCACAAGTTAATGAGAGGAGATGTGATCCAGCAAAGGAGTGGTCCTGCTAATTGCAAACATGTTCAAAACAAAGATATGTTCAATGTGTTATTTTATGTTTGATGGGGAGTAAATGTGTTTGATTTGTATAGTTTTTTAAAAATTGTTTTCCAGATGTTTCTTTCTGGATTGACACTTTTATTCTAATCCAAAGAAACAATGTGATTTGATCTTTATTTAAAAGAGGGGTCATGTATGGCTGAGCTAGGAAGCTTTGTTGTGTTCACCAATCTGGTTTTATTTATTTGCCACTTTGTGAAGATAGCTTTGTGAAAACACACATGGAATCCAACTAAGTGGTTTTATCTGACTGGTTCTATTATGTTCACAAAACAGTATATAAGAGTGACAGGAGTGTAAACTCCTAAATCTGATAGTGCTGATTTTATCTCTATGACCCACAACTCTTTGACTGATAATTGTATTTATCATTATCTCAGAAGTCAAGACTATGTAAAAAAGGTCAAAGGCTATGTTTGCTAACTTTCTAAAACTCCTCTTGTTTTTATTCCTCGTCAGCCAACTGACACCAGATTGTATTTATTGGACATTGTCTGCCTCGGCCTCCCAAAGCTGCTCCAAAGAAAATAATTCCATCAGCCAAGTCAGAGAATTACCCTCCAATCAATCACTGCCCCTGATTTTCCAATTTGTCACAGCAGTCGTTATTATTATTATTAATTATCTGGTCTTGTGATTGTGAACATCTGTGTGTGGGATGCTCGATTCTCCATGGGCTGTCAGAATCCTGACCTCTTCTTACACACTAATACTCTGGCCCAGCCAGACTCCACACTTCACTTTCCTTCACATTGTGTCATCTGTTTTTTGTTATCTCCCAGTTACATGTAGTGTATCCACTGGGGTTTTCATGCTTGTGCTGTATTTGTGGCATGCATGAACGTAAGTGCAAATGAATACACACAGTGTCAGTAACACAAAAGCCTGTCTTGGCATGTGAGTTTTTTTCCACTCATTCGCTACCTGAAAGGAAAACAATGGTACAAAGCAGAGCTGTGCATACCATGCGAGGGCAGTTCTTAAGATCATTATAAGCATTTTGTCAACTGACAGTTGACCTTCGCATTTCATTTGTGACTCTCAATAGACAAACCAAGGAATGGTGTTCAGCTAGAATGAAATGTGTTACTGGTGTACATGCAAGAAAATGATTGAGAAATGTATTCCCTGATCAAAATCGAAAAGTAAATGATTGTTGATTGTTGGTGACAAGACTGAAGTGACTATCAGATCTGTAAAGATAATTCTTCACTTCTAATTTATTTTTCCTTCTTTCTTGCCTTATTTTACTTTGTTTATTTTTCACAGGATTGTTTTCCACGATACGTCCAACGAATTATACAATGTTACAAATATAGTGTTGGACATTTTGAACTAATTTGAAATAATAAAATATCAGATGTGGACTGACTTCTTTAGACTTAGAATGATTTTAGCCTGGCATGAGGTCAATGAATTAAAAAGTTTATTTTTAAACTTACAACTTACTGAACTTCTATAACAAATACCAGTCTGATCTGAGCTTACAATATAAAACAAACTAGGCTTTTATATTTTCTATTTATACAGAGGGTGTGAACTACATTTGCTCTGTGTTCTGAAACTGAAAATGTTGTTTAAATTGTGTGACAATAATGACACGTCTTTAACATGGGCCATACATCATGGAAGTATTGTTCAACAACAAGTTGACAGAGCAACTCCACAGGACACAGATCTTCATCTTCCTACAGTAACTCCAGTGAGCAGAAGATTTGAACAATTTGTTTCAAGCAACAATCCTCCAGTGCTGCTCAGACAACAACAGTTAATAGTTCAGACAGGTCCATCCCTATGCAACAGATGTTGCACTTGCACAACCAGACAAAAATGTATTTAGTCCCTGCACGAGGCTTTCCGTTCTTGCTGAGGCAGTGCAGCTGTGTGGCATGAAGCAAACACATCAGTAAATGGAAGGGAGGCAGGCAGTGGAGTAAATGGCTCAGCAGGGGGTTTAAGAGCAGGCCGTATGGCATAATGACCAGGCAGCAACCCACAGAGAGCTGATGTGAATGCTGCTGTCATCCAGGTTCAATGAAATGTGCTTGGAAAAAAATAGCCTTTTCAGTTGTAAAGGAACAGGAAGATGGCAAAATCGGTGGTATAGAGAAAACCCTGGAGAGGTCCTCAAGACTGGAAATGACTAGAAGTACAGACCTTCAACATTTAATAATGTCCTTTAATTGTGTTGATATTATGCATTAATGAAAAGATTTTGTTCTGCATGTTTAAAGTCACAATATCCTGTTTTTGCACTAGATCTCTCACTGTGAGGTAACCAGGTGGACCAAACGACCATTTCCTTTAAGGTCGCTGGAGCCAATTGCAGCGTCTTCTGTCAGGGAGAAGAAATGCTCTGAAGAAACTTTCTAAAGTAGATCATCAGCATTGTTTGTGTGACTGTTGCACAGACATGGAATAAGCTGAAATAGCTGAAACTCTTGGCAGGTAACACTAAGTATGGCACATAAAAGTAGACATTTTTTATATTAAGAAAGTAGCACTGTGTGATTTAGCTAGTTTGAGATTTGTGGCCAGATAAGGATTAAATTAGACAACAGAGAAAAGATGACAATTCCAGGGGCCAGTCAGACTGTCCGTGATGTCTAAGACAACATGACTTTATAATCTGTCATTCATGATGTCTGAAAATCACAATGACATTCATTTATTATGCCTTAAATTCCGCTGCTGTAGCAACCTGTCATTTCTTGGGTTTTTACTTCCTCTTCTTTTTGTTCTTTTTGTGTATATCTGACATATTTCTCCCCAGTTCCCTGCCACATGGATCATCAAGAGTGTCATGCGATGACTGGATTATACGTCAGATCATTATTGTATGGTGAGCTGAAACCTGGGGCGTCCTTACGGTTGTATTTCTGTCTGGCATTATTTTTCTGACACTTGGTGTTGATCTCTTTTTTTCCACAGTAGAAAAATGCTACAAATACAGAACATACAGCACACTTTTTACCTGCTGAAACTGAAAGAGCTGTGATATTTCTGTGCTTGTAGCGTGTACAGCCTTTTAGGTCTGTAGGAATAATATTATTTAAACCATGACTCATTTTTTATTGCTGTAGTTCCCTTTGTTAAAAGTGCAATCACTTGAACAGAAGCCTCAATATTCAAAATCAATCCTACTGTGAACATATGGAGGACAGTGAGTTAAAGCAACAACAAACTGTATAATTTACTCAAGGCTGTAGCTTTAATGTGCAGACCTGTTATACAGCTGAGGTAACCTGCTGAGTTAATATGTTTTCAGACAATGACTTTAAGAACACCCAAACCTTGCTCTTTAGCCAGAATATGACATTCACAGACACTTTCCTGGATGCTAATTGACAAAAGGTCCAAGTGGTTGTTGTGTCAGTTGCAGTGCCATGCAGGAAAAGACGCAAGTCTCCTCCGTCTCTGTCAAGTAATTTTTTCTTGTGAATGAGATCATCATTACTTTAATTCAATATTCAAAGCTCATTCACAAAAAGAAACACCTGAGTGTAGCAGGAATTGGCACAAAAGAAACTTTAGGATTTCTTGGACTATGTGTATGTGTTCAAAGTAATGGCCATGTCTGCTGATCTGCTGCATAATCTAAGACTTTGAATTAGTCACAAAAATACCTCAAGGAAATCACACAGACTCTGGAAATTTACACAAATACAAGCTTCATTTACATTCAGCAGAGAACTTTGAAACAGCTCCAGCTCTTATCTCTAGTGGTCAGTAATATAGTCTCATTAAGTGTTGCAGAGGAAACAAATGGTATCTATGCTCTTGAGCAATGTTTTTATTTTTAAATAAGATGGTGTGCAGAACAATTTGTATTTGGTTTGCCTTTTCATGCAAACTTGTTTGCATATATATCTCATGGTACCAGAGTATGCAGTTGTATTACAAATAACTCATCTGTGTGTTCATCTTTGAAGTGGAGCAGATGTGTCAGTTTATGCTTTTATGTACTGAAAGAAATCCTAAATTATGTATGCACGTGCCTCACTTTGTTATTCATGTTTTTATGATTTTTTTTTTATTTTCTTAGTTACAGTGGTGGGTTAGCATTTTTATCATGTACCTCATGTATATATTTTTACAGACCATACAGCACCTTAAAGCTACACATGCACCTTATTGTTATTGCACCTTAATGTTTTTCATTCAGTATTGTCTATGTCTGTCAGCGCACGGGAAGGCGAGGAACGTAATTTCGATACCTCTGTATGTTCTGTACATGTGAAGGTATTGACAATAAAGCTGACCTTGACCTTGACCTTGACCTTATCACTTATTGTGACTGCTTAAAAGTATAAAAACATTTTGTGCCATACACATTAGATTTACTAAATATTCCCTTTTACGGTATTTAAGGCAAATTTTAAAGAGGTGTTCCAAGGCATCACATTTGACCTTTTTTGACTTTTAAACTGTTCATCTTCCAGGGTGGAACTATTTGCTACTAACGTTAACAGTGGTATTTATTTTACCATTTAGAACGTAAAGTAAAATAGTATGACCTTCTTAACAGTACGGCGTTCAGATATGATATGTTTAAAATGTTCCTGCTTTGTATAAAAACGTGAGAAATACTTAGAGAATCAGTTAAGTTAGTGAAGTTGTGGCGTTTTCTTTACGATTTTATGTTTTACATCAGCGCCATCTTGCGAATTCAAAATGTTTCGCCGTGACGGAAGTGACGTTGAATTAATACCTGCCAATCAGCTCCCGTGGCACTAGATTCGAACAGCAACTCGCTAACAGATAAACTGAAGTAAAGAATATCGTTTACTTGTTACTTAAACGTTAAAAAACCCATTTGGTAAAGTTAATTCGCCGTATTGTTCGATAATACATAAATGCCGGTAAGCCTTTTTAATATTTAATGCTATTCTCTGTTAATTTCGTGACGATAGTTTTACTAGCGTTAACGTTAGACAGCATGCTAGGTTAGCCTTTTAGCTGTGTTGTGAATGTTTTGTTGTGCTAACGCTGTGTAATTGAATGACTTAAAATGATTGAACCCATCAAGGGTACCGAGTCATGGCAAAAGAACGGCCTCAGAAAAAGTCATTCCAGGACAGTCTGGAAGACATTAAAGAGCGGATGAAGGAGAAGAGGAACAAACGTCTCGCCAGCGCTACATCTTCCAGCAGAGGACAGAACAGGAGCGTAAACAAGAGCAGCGGTGGGAACTTTTGATTTAAAATATACTGTATAGCATACATGTATATGTACTATTGTGTACTGTTGTTTGCACTAAAAGGTGGTCAGTAATGCTGTGAAATGTGTTTACTAATTTAAAAAGAAATTTGTAAAAATAGAATCACAGAAATTGTATTTCCGTGCAATAATATTTCGCCCTAAACTAGCTGTTTTGCAAAGGAAAAGCACTTGCTATTTTCCCTTATACCAACCAATTGATATATTTTATTCCAGGGGCCAACTCCACTAACACCATCCTGAAGGGAGTCCAGTTGAACAACAAGGTTTTGGCTGTAGCGCTACAAGCAGAAAAGGAAAGAGGGAGAAAAGCCAATGCAGTCATCTTACAACTGAAGAGAGAACAACAGGCTCTGTTTCTTCACTTGCTGCTGCTTAAGAAGAAGGTCAAGGAGCAGGAAGCCTTAGTGGCTTCCAGTGCTTTACAGGTAAGCCTTGGAGACATGTTCATTTCCACTCACTGAAGGAGAAGAGTTCAACACATGGTAATATTTTTGATTTGGTCATTTAGAAAAAATCTCCATATCATCATGATGAACCTCAGCACAATATAAATTCAACAAGGTAACCTTTTGATTAATGTTTCCAAAAGTTTTCATATTCTTTACAGGGATACATTTGTATTTGTAAAACAAAAAAATGTTTTTGCAGGAGAAGGCGAACCAGCCATGATCTCAGAGAGTGTGAAGCATCAATAATTAGTGCAGGTACATGAAAATTATTTTTTATTATTCCAGTGTTGACCCATAAATTGGTTACTACAAGTTGACATACAGAATGCAGATTGACATAGTGTTTTAAAAGGTGGTTTTCAAACAGATCAGAAAGAAATGTATTGCTCATTTAAGTTGTATCTGTAGCATATAACATAACTATTCTTTCTTATACACTGAGTGATAGATAAATAATAAATCTGTTTATATTGATTTTTCTATTTCTGGTAAACATATTAGTACAGAAGTAATTCACTGTTGCTTGTATATGATTGTTGAACCACAGATATAAAAAGGACAGGGAGTTTTCTCTCTAATATGGAATTATGTTTTATTAACTTTTCCCTTTTTCCCTACCAGAGCGTAACGAAGCTGAAAGTACAGAGCAGTCTAAATGTGACGAACATTTCATCTTGCCTTCCACGGTGGGCACTCGACGTCAGCGTACAGAAAAAATAAATACCAGGCGGTCTGAGCGCGTGCAAAATCGGCAGTCTTTTTGTGATGTTGCCACCATTCCAGAAATCGATACTTCAGTAGGGAGTCCTATTTGTAGCAATGACAAAACTTTAAATTTACCACAGCGAAGATCAGAACCAGAAGCAGCAGGTGTTACAGATACTGAGAACTTTCAGCACTCTACTCCAGAACCAGTGCCACATAAAAAAGTAAGTAGGAAAAAAGCCCAGCAGCAACCTTGCACCAAAACAGAACCAGCTACACGGAAAGTCGAGCGAGGCCGTAAAGTAGAATGTTCCCAATTGAGGAAACCGTGGGAGAAGTCCAAACCCAGGGCTCGCTCCAAGAGTAGGGACCGTTCAGCCACACGTTCCAAAAAAGCACCTCCACCGCAGGGAAGCAAACTCAACACTTCACTGGGATTCAATGACACCTTTGACTTTGACTGTGAAGAGACCACTCACGTCACGCCTTTTAAGGCAAAGGTGGAGGACAGTCAGCCGAACACCCCCATCACTGAAGAGTCTCGACAAAGACAACAGACTGTAGCTGAGGAATCAACTGGTGGCTCCAGAAGGAATGATTCCGGCTCGTCTTCACCATTATCTGACTCAGATGACAGCCCTTATGTACCTAAAAAAACAGCACGGACACAGATGTCTTCGGGTCAGACCAGCAGGGTGATCACAACCCGTAGAGGATGTCCCTCCAAAGTTGTTGAGCAGAAAGAAAATGTCTCTCAAAAACAGGCAAACACTGGTAAAATGTCTTTTTATCAACTATGATCTGTTTCGATGGTTCTCAACAAACAAGTTTATTTCTCATTTCTTTTGTATTTTATAGATTTTAGAAAAAAACAATTAAATCCAAAGGTTCTGCAGCTCAAAAAGCAAGAAACTCATCTCTACCAGTTGCCGGACTCGAGCTTCTCTAACAGTCCTAACCCTACAGGAATGGAAGAGGAACATCAAGGTAAGTCAAACATGTTTGGTGTTTTAACAGTTTTGGTCTCAACATCTCAATGCAAAAAGGAGACTTCTGAAACATTCTGACCATTAATGTGTGTCTTTGTTCACCAGAGCCTCACAGAGAGGGTTTGGATGAGGACAGTCTGCAGCTTGTCAGTCCTCTGGTCGAAGCCGAGATGATGAGAATAGACAATGTCCTGTCCAACTTTGGAGATGTGTCATGTGATACTCCACCGCTTCTAAGCAACCAAATACCGAAGATAATGAAGACGAGCCAAAAACGTGAGTTTGCTTGCTGGGTATGAGGATGTACCATGTGACTGCACTGGTCATGCATGGAGGTGCCTAATTTCTTTAATACCAGCTGTCCTTTAAAAAAGCTTCAGAGAACATTAATGACACAATAACAAAAGTATGAATACGTTAGTGTCAAGTAAGAGGAAGGCTTCATCCGCATGTTAGGCTTTTACTCCAGGGAAACTGCTGTTTGTCCATTTATTAATTCTTTCATTTGTTTTCCAAAATTGCTTGTTACTATAGAATCTCACAGAAAACTCATTAAAGGGCAAACACTTACAACATGTGTGCACGTGGTAGTATTTGTTAGATTGCAGTGTTTCGCTGTTCACTGGTTTAAGCACGCAAATAAAGCCTGTCACAGTTTCCCTTCTTTTCTGTCATTAGTCACATCTTCCCTCACATTTCCACAGGTGGGCTTGGTGTAAGGACAGCAGGGCGGGGCTTGAGTCTGTGTGATGTGACCAATCTGTCCCCTGCAGCCTATCGCAGGTTGACCTCTGAAACCCAATGTTCCGCTCCGGCCCGCAAACGGCGCTGCACCATGGTTGTGAACTACAAGGAGCCGTCGCTCGGGGCGTAAGTTGTCGTTCCAACGGTGTCCTCCACTGTAGTTGTTCCTGCAGTAGGGTCTGTCGATTCCAAACTACCATTTCATTCCTTCAGGAAACTCCGCCGTGGGGACCGTTTCACAGATGTGCAGTTTCTCAGCTCCCCCATCTTTAAACAGAAGTCTGACCGGAGGTCTGTGGCCAAACCCAGGAAATCTGTGAACAGGCAGCAGCAGCAGTTCCACAAGTACAACGAGTCTTTTGTCGGATGTCGCTGATAAATGTTGCTGTCAGTGTGAGTTGAAGCAGCTTCTTAAAAAAGTGATTTTTTTTTTCAATGCATTATTTTACGTCTTTATATTGTTGTGAGCTGTAATGTGAAAGCCCCCCATCTTTTAATCCTAACTCTGCATCATCATCCCTTCATTTCTTAAACTTACTACATTTGAAGTGATGTTAATTCTATGAAGGGATATTTGTAATGTTTGGTAAACTGTAACTTTGATTATGAAATTCTGAATATATTGACTTAATAAATAAATCAAACATTACTGCTCACGTCAATCATTTCTATCAATACTTTTCTAAAGAATACCTTTTCCTCAAAAACAGCTATTGTTCCTCTAATACTAACTGTTTTGGGAGGAAAAAACGCATTTCTTTTCTGCAAATTTACCTTGAACATTTTCACAGGCAGCTCCAACCCTCCTCCTCCCACAGCAAAAACATCACACACTGCAGTAGCCCCACTTCTATTTTATTCAGTCTATAAAATAGGCTAGTACTTTGCCATTAAAACGAGTCGTACAAAGAGCATGAAGCATTTTCTTTTCCAGACATATTACAAAATGTTCTTTTTCTCTAAAGTCTGAAAAGTACAAACAACTTTTTATTTTTTTACAAAACAGCAAAACTACATTATATTGCACACTCTTCATTTATCTCCAAAGTATAAAGTTATCAATCTCCATCTGCTGGATAAAAATAAGAGAATAAATTAACCTTGTCTTAAGCAAAATCCATCTTAAATTACAGCACATAAATAAGAATAATCTCTCGACATTTAAGTTAGTCCTTAATTAACTGTGGTGATTTATGTTAACCAAGGTTTGAACAAAAGAAATACTCTTACGTTAACTAATACTTGGAAAAATAAAAGTGCATTTTGATAGGCTGCCCTAGGTGGCGTATACAAAAAAGATTTTAGTTCTGAAAAGGAAAATATATGTTATGTACACATTTAAAATATACATTGCGTATATATATATATCTATATATATATAAGTGCTTTAAAGCAATACAATTTGTACAAATTTAAAGTAAGTTTTCCACTTTTGGCAGGATGAACTCCATCACAGACAAACTTTGACCTCATTAATAGCGTGCACACTCACAGGCATATGGTTGTATGGATAGGAAAATCTATTCTCAGTCACGGTCCTTGAAGGTAACACTTGTGTAGTGATGTAACACAAAGTAGATGTCTGTGCTGCTCATGACATTTCTACCTGAGTCTACTCAGCAAAGGCAGGCGTTCAGAGAGAAGTGGGCCATGTCCCATTTTCTTTAGGTTAAACCTGAAGTGGGCAACATCTTTTTAAAGATCCTGTCAAGATTAACCAGCCAGTGACTTAGGCCAGAGATCCCCTACAATTAGACCCTAGGCCAGTACTTTAAAAGAAACATTACAATAGAAAAAGGCCCACAGAGAAAAAAAGATGAACTTTTGCCTTTAAATAAAATAAATCTGCATTTACAGTCCTATTTAAAGTACATGTTTATCACGACAGGTGATTATCATGTGACAAACCCTTTGCATATTTGTTTAGCTTTGTAACATTTACTTTTATATAATTATTATTTGTTCTAATAAAAGTTGTTTCATTTTATCTAATTTTGTTTTTCTTTTTTTCTGCTGCACCTTGATGACTGAGCCTGCAGAAATGGTTGGGGACCTCTGTCCTAGATCACTGTTCTAACTAATACATATGGGTTATTCATGTAAAGTTCCAAAATATGCATCTAAAAGATGTGCAGTACGCAGCTTCCCTGTGTCGTTACTAGTTGTAATTATACAGTAAAGAGGTGGGGGTGACGCTGGTGCAATTTTATGTTATCCTATAAATTAAACTAGTGCTTTTCAAGCTATGATAACGATTGGTGGCACTTTGGCTTCCTCAAGGGAATCAAGACATTTGTTTGACTAGCATAATATTAGCACTGGCTAAAAGGACAAGCTCAAAAACATGGCTCCAAAATATGGAACTCTCAAAAAGAGACTTGGGGAAACAGAGGGAATATATTAAAGTTAGAAGCTGCCCTGTAGAGACTGGAGTAAATCTGCTGAACAAGCAGTGAGTGTGTGTGTGTGTAAGAACCAGCAGTAAGTGTGTGTGTGTGTAAATACAGACATGAAGATAGAATTGAAGTGCCAGTTGAGGTGTTACTTCATTGTACACCTTGGCTGATATTCTTATTGGGAATACATTTCCTTTTTTGTGTATTGTGCTAAGCCACTTCCTCAAACTTTCCTAGTGTTTTCTCCCTATGAGATGCAGTGATGGGTGATGAAACATGTTGAATGAAACACCTGTTATTGTCTCACCTCTCCTTAACAGTCTCAGTCCTCATTTATGGCCAGTCTTTGACCCTAAATGTATTACTAGTCGATCTAGAGTTGTGATCTGAAAGATACTAAAAGATATGTTCCTGACACTAAACTGCTCCAGGATCAGTAGTGCTACTCTTGGCTTGAGTATGCTCACAGCTGCCACTTCACCTTTATCACTTTAAGCTTGAGGCCTTTCTCACTCTTTTGTTGAAACCAAAAAAACCCTCTCCTTTTTACTTCTCGATGAGTCCTGCTTCTTTGATTTTGGTGTAAAAGAACTTCTCCAGCAGGTTGGCACATTTGTAATACTCGCTCTCTGGAAGGTTGTATTCACGACAGTTAGTGAAGATGCGTTGCATGTCGGCCATGAACAGCTTGCGGGTTGTGTAGTAACGGCTTTTCAGACGCTCGCTCATTGTCTTGAGGTCTTTGAGATGGAAAAAAAGGAATCGATGTTAATGTGTGTTTTATGGATTATTTCTTTATTGATTTAAGGCTGTGTCTACAGCACACTGAGCAGTGATTTAATAACTAAAAACACAGACCTGTTTTCTATTTGGTCATTGATTGTGTTCATCCTCATTCAGCATCAGTTTGTTTGTAACCTTTGAGCTGTTATGGTCATCACTGTTATGTTTACATATTGCCTGATATTGATGTTAAGGAAACTGTAGACAATGCTGTTGTAGTTGTTGTTGGATAGAACAGTTAAACAGACCATAAATAACATGGTCAAACCTAACTCAGTTGGTGGTTTCCATTTAACCCTGTCTACCAATGTCTCTGTCAGTCACTGAGTACATACCCATTGGAAATCGAATCTCTTGGTAGTACCCTGGGGCCTCTGTCTTCTTCACAGGCTCCATGAAGGGCCAGGCGTTCTGGTGACTCTATGGTGTGAGGACAAGTCATTTTAGCGCCCTACAAGTTTGACTGTAAGTTAACTGTCAAGTATGTTGAACTGCCGACAGCATCAGTTTGAGTATACAGTATGTGATGTTTATGTGCGTGTGTTTATCTCTAACCTTCACATGTTGAAGGATGGTCTTCAGGGTGCTGTACAACTGATCAGGATCCTTCATCTCTTTTCTACAGCAGAAGAAACACAGACTTCATCACCATACTGAACTTCATTACAATGCAGGAGTTTATCTAAATCACACATTTATGTGTTGTATGATGGAAAAAAAATTCTTAACATTTTTCTTTCATCATTACATGTGTGTATCATATTTAAATTGTATTTCTAGGACAAATAAGAAAGCAAGTTTACTTTGTAAGTTCATCACCAGTGATGTCACTTACCCTTTGCCGACAGGTTTCCAGCCAGTTTCACCTGGGAATGACATAATACCACATCTAACCTCATTAACTGTGTCAACAATGTAAATGCCTTGGGTAAAAAGTTAAAGATAACTCAGTGTTAGAGACATGCTGTCCTGAGGAAAAGTCACGTACGTATGCCAGGAATGCATTCTATGGGGATCTGTCGGACTCCCTCCTTAAAACAGGAAAGACCTGGGTAGACTTTTCTGATCTGGGCCTGTTTCCTCTCAATGAGTTTCTTGATGATCTGAGAGGGACAAGAAAAAAAAATCTAGGTAATACTAATTTGTATTTGATGTTCACATATCCACATACTGTACCTCCTTCTGCTTCTTAATGATAACTGAGAACTCTGTGTAGGGTATGCTGGGGTTGAGTTCACAGCCCATAAGTGTGGCTCCCTCATAATCCTTGATGTAGCCCACATACTTGGCTTTAGAAACTTTGATGTCCTTTGAGAACCCCTAAAAAGAAAAAAATGTTTAAAACATGTTATTTATAAATATTTCCTCCTCCCTTTCTTTTTAAAATGAAATAATTTAGAAAGCCATCTAGATGGTATTTACGAGGGATGGTTTGATCACAATACTGTTATTGCTGAGGCTGTTGATGTCACGAAAGTTAAATTGAGCATTTGGGTTAAGGTATCGGGTCAGGGGGCTACGGTTGTTCGATCCTAAAATTTGAACCAACATTAGACTGATACCGATGCTGAGTATTGGATCGAGCCATCCCTAGTTTATACAGGGTTAAATGGTTTAAGAAAGAAGAAGCAAAAAGTGAACTGGTTACCTTAGAAACTATGATGTAATGCATATTCATTGTCTATATTAATGACCGTGTTACCTGCTTTTTGAAGTAGCCAATGGCATACTCATCGGCATAAGTGAGGAAGTTCAGGATTTCATGTTTAATGTGATATTCCTTCAAATGGTTCATCAGGTGTGTTCCGTAGCCCTGCGATCACACAGTCAACGGCAAACATCAGTGCTGACTGATCAGTCAGACTGGGATACAATTTTGGGCAAACGTTCCCTGAGCAACAGAGGGCACCCTCACCTTGACCTGCTCATTTGAGGTGACAGCACAGAAGACAATTTCGGTGAACCCCTGCGATGGGAACATTCGAAAACAGATTCCTCCAATCACACGTCCATCTTTGATCAGTGACAGTGTCTTGTGCTTCCTGTCCATGGTGAAAAGATTGTCAGTCATCGTCGATATAAATTCAACTCTGAGAAATGATGACAAGCTAAAGCTCCACCCACGGATCAAAGACCAGCCGTGTGATGTACTCCTTGGGCATACGAGGCAGCTGGTGAGAGAAGACATTCTGGAGGCCGACCAGCCACATCAGGATCCGCTTATTGGGCTTCTGGTTGAGAGAGTTTCCAATGACATGAAATTCAATCACCCCCCTGCGCTCCTCTATACGAGCGGCTTCGTCACGTGCAGAGTGTGCTGACAGTAGATTGGTCTGCAAAGAACCAAGGCAGGTAGTAACAAATCATCATCACATTTCATATGTCCTGAAGTACCAATCATGACAGTTCTAAACCAAAGGTGTTTTTTTTGTGCTCATACCCATCAGTCAATTTAAATGACATCTTTGTCTTTACCTCAGGAATGGCGGCAGGATCCGTGATGGTGGACATGACTTCGTTGATGAGCTCCATGGGGATGTCACCTACCACCCGCGGTCTTTTGTTTTCCTCATGGGACAGGGGTTCCGATGCTTTACGCTTTTCTCCAACTACAAAACAGTGTGTAAGCCAATCATTATTACAACATTTGTGGTTAAACTGTGTTTATATTTAATATTCTTATATTACAGAAGCAGATCTGTTCTTACCTACAGGGTTTGACTCCAACACGGAAGCTGCTTTCCTGGCAGGACTGACACTGCCACAGTTAGACGTGTCCACTGATACAGGACTAGTGCTGTAGTACAAAGGTCTGGCCACAGGGGGTGCAGCTATAACTGCAGAGAAGCAAAAAGAGAACTACAAAGGTAAAAAAGTTATACATTTCATCACAGGATAAAAAAACACAAAGCTAGCTTGTCCAGTCAGGGTGTTAGTGTGTTTTTGTGGAGCCTGAATGGGTGTGTTACCAGTGTGAATAGGAATCTGTCCTCCTGACGCTCCTGCCAAAAAGTCTTGGCTCCAAATTGGAGAGCTGTGGCTGTACACCTCCTCTTCTAACATCGACAAAAACCTGACCCAAAAAAGAACTAGGTTATAAAGTTGCAGAGTTTGTGGTTGGATATTAATAACATTCATTACTGCAGTTAATGAAAGAATGGTTTTAAGCCTAGTAGTTTGTTTACTTTCCCTTACTTGGGGAAGTGTGTGAGAATAAGTGTGCGTTTCTCTGGAGGCAGCTTGTCCTTTTCCTGTCTGGCCTGCTCCAATAGTTGTTTCCTCATCACAGTGAACACAGAACGTAATAGTGTCCGGCCAAAGATCTGAGTGGTTTCGTACCGAGGCAGGCTGTCACAAAACTGAGGCACATTACAGTAGCATAACCATCTGTGGAGAGTGCACAGAGAGAAATTACTTGAATGAGTTGTTAATAGAAGTTCCAGAATGCAGAGCTGTATTTCGCTGCTACCTGGTGTAGTTGGCTTTGTATCCGGCTGCATCGTCATTGGGGACCCTCAGACGTCTCTGTGAGGGGGTCTCCAGCTGCCAGTAGTTGATCTGGTTGAGAAACATTTTAGCCAGTTCCACGATTGTTTGTCGTTCCTTAGATGGAAGGTGACTAAATTTATACTGGACAAAATTATTCACCCCCTGTTTTGGAATAAAAGAAAAATGTTAGGAAAACAAACACAAAACAACTGAATTTGAATGTTTAAAGTGTAAAAAATATGTAAGTACCTGCTCTATGCTAGGTTTTTCAAATGGAGGACTCTCCTGTGCTTCTAGCATCGGTTTACCCATCTGCAGAATGGATTTTCTCAGCAGCTGAAAAATAAAAAAGACATGTGTTTGTTCACTTAAATACAGGTTGTAACATGCTGCAGCATTGGCACGGTTTTTCTTTCATACCCCAAAGCCAAAACTTACTTTGAAGAGGGAAAAGTAGACCTGCTTAGTGTCAGCATCCTCCTCTTTGTGAACACATGTGTAGAGGTACTCCACATCCAGGACGATACCCAGGAGTCTGTTCATTTCCTCCTCAGAGACGTTTTCTAGATGGGTCACGTGATCACCTGGCAGATTTGATAGTATCATTGTTATAAGGCAAGAATCTTCAGTCTCACTTCTCTCTTTGAATACAGGATGTTGTCATTTCTAATTCTGCGTTACAGTACCCAAAGTGTGAGAGCAGCTGCGGCAGGGCTCCTGCAGGTTGACTGTGTTGGATTGCTGGTCCGTGCGTGGGGGTGTAGGTGGAGGGTTCTGACTTTTCCAGCCATTACACTTACACGCTCCTTCAGCCTAGAAACAGAACAGTGGAAAAATACAAGGGCATCAGATCACATTTTATTGCATTACCTGCAGAAGTGCTGACTAGAGAGGTCTTTAGAAAACTGCTTTTTGTGTAGCTCTTTTTGTGTAGTGTTTGGTTCAGTGCTCTCTGGCCTGATCCACAGAAAGTTACAGACACTTGTTTTAAATGACGGCAATGCCTCCAGGTTCAAGTACGCACGCTTGAACCCTTTAACATTCTTCTAGATTTTGTGAGAGTAGTCGACCAAGAGTTAGTCAAAGTTCTCACGCATTATGACAATCTCACTATGACAAATGTCAAATGGTGTCAGATTTTACAGAACTAAAACATGGTATGACACATCTCTTGTACAACTTTGTCCTTCGTGTCCTGGCCAAGTGTTGAGCTGTGTTAGATTTTAGTTGATCAGGTTCTTCAACTACTTTCAAATTGAAAGGGTCAAAAAGCAGTGATTTTAACGTTTTTAACCACACTTAAATAGAATTTTGTTTTTTCTTCTTCTTCTTCTTCCAGAACCTAAAGAAAATTGGAAAGGATCTTGTTTTATTTCTTCAAAGAAGCCTGGTTCAAATGACGTCCCCCGGAATTCTACAAAAAGGGATACTTGGTTTGTGTTTTTCTTATATATGACATACAGATAAAAAGCTTTGTTATTTTTATGAACTTCGTTCTAAAACACTTCAGTGTTGCACCAAAAATAATACCGACTGTATTTTCTACTTTAACGACACTCGTTGTCGCTGTCTTACAGTTTGTTACATATGTAAATATGTATTACAGTAATAGGCGGAGTACGAAGGCCTTTCACCACAAGCACGAGATGATCTGCGCATGCGCTGTGCAACAACAACAAACTCCGCCTCCACCCTTCCAGCAGCTGTCACCCTGTCATAACAAAGACCCGTCTCTCCCTGCAGACATACGCTGCACAAACTGAGTAAAAACCAAATGCGTTCAGCACCGTGCGTGGACACGGACACCGTGGAATCTTTGAGGAAAGCCTCAAAACCACACACGCACACATAGCCACACCGTGGGCAGCAGCTTCTAATCGCACACACAGAGCCCTGCTACTCCCAACGACTCAGTGCCAAGCCAATGTTTACGTTCACATCCCCCACCTCGACAGAAACACAGTAAGTGAGAGAGAGCATAAAAACGAGGGTAGCTCACAGATGGAGGCTTCCTGCTCCACAGACCTGTGGTAACAGCCACAGTCCACTTAACTACACGTTAATCACACTTTTCCGTCATTGCTGCGTGCATGCAAAAAATAATAAAAATTTCAAGTGCGGCAATGGCTTCCTTTGCTGCGCTTGCATTTTCTAAACTCTTGCAGCCAAGCACAGGACTCAGGCTGTGAGCGGAAAAAGCGCATCTGCCCATGTGTTTTGAAAGTCTTCAGATAAAGCATACTTTGCAGGATGAATACACTCCGAGTTTTTCCAGTTTCTTAGGTCGAGGTGAGGATCGGAGTTGCGCCTTCTTCACGGCGATTCGTGCGGATCCTCCAGCGGCGCCAGAGCCCTCGGTACCCCCGGCTCCAGGAGCGGCCGGGACCGAGCCCGCAGCTCCGATGGCCGGCGATCCCTGCTGGATTACAGCGCTATCGGCCATTATCGGCTACGAACCCCGAAGGGAACCGCGGCCCGCGAGATTTTCGTTCTGCCGTCCGCTCTACTCCAGAAGCGGAATATCAGACATGGCGCTCATCCTTATTTTCAATTTCTCAGTGTAGGCCCATTTTCCTCCACTAGGGGAGTGAAAGGGGACAGACCATCAAGTCTGGAAGGAGAGGTCATTTAGTGAAACAGCTGAAGATTATTTTTTCAAGGTCAAATGTTGCAGAAAGTGAAAACCACACTAACCTGTGATCCTTAAGATTAATGTTTTATACCTTCTTGTACCTCTTCAACTGGGGTCCGCAACCCCTCTGTGGTCCGCAGAGGTCCTAAAGAGGTTTGTGTTTTTAGACAGTTTTTTAACATTTAAATAATTTAAGTTGGAGGTTTTTACAAGTACTTTAATAAAATTCAAATCTATGTAACACACAATTTTATATTATTTATATATATTGTATCGTGCTAACATACTGTATGTCACTGGTTCAATTCACAGATTTCTGTTTTTTTTTTTTCACGAGTTTGCATATTCTGCAGGGACTTGTTTTGTGTACTTGTGTGTGTTTATGTCATGTACAACAGGAGGGTTAATGGGAAAGAAAACACTAATGCTTGGTTATCATAAGTGGTGTAACAGACTGTTTCTCTGTGTGTGCTTATGTACAATGATGATCTAGTCCAATACAGAGAGAAGTTCAAATAATGGGTGTTTATGGACAGATGTACACAATAGTCCAGTAGCCAATCAGAGGCCGTTTTCTACATGTCACACGTGATTGTCTTAAGAATTACTTTGCTAATAGATCTCAAATCTCTCAGTCACCATACATACATTTAAACATAAACACAACACATTAAAGCTTATTTTACTTTCCCTTGTGGTGTCACTTGCTTGTAATGTTAGTAGAATCTAATATTGTTTAAAAAAACAGAAACTACCATTATTTTATTTAATTTTTTTTTTTT